CAATAAAACAAACGTAATTAATAACATACAAGTGATTCTGTTATGTTTCGCACATATTTAGTTTCCTTTTTACATATCCATATAGTAATAAAACGTTTTGTTCAACTGTTGAATACAACTGTTTGGTTGTTCCTGTACATACAACTGTCTATTGTTATATACCTGTACATACAATTGTCGATTTGTATATTTAATACTGGCTAAAGAACCTCTAAACAACCTTTTTATTTCAGATAAATGCTGATCTATACATCAAAGAATCCAGAAAGAAATTTACTCAGCTGTTTTAAATATTGATAACAACAACAACAACAACAACAATAATAATAAATGTTTCTTGAGCAGCAAATCAGCATATTAGAATTATTTCTGAAGGATCATGTGACACCGAAGACTGGAGTAATAAAGCTGAAAATTCAACTTTGATCACAGGAATAAATTCAAATGTAAAAAATATTTTCAAATTGAAAAGTTATTTTAAATAGTAAAAATATTTCACAATATTACTGATTTTGCAAATAAATGCAGGCTTGGTGGGCAGAAGAGAATTCTTTATTCTTTAACATTAAAAATCTTACTGTTCAAAAAAGCTTTTGACTGGTAGTGTACATTTGCAATTGAGAAGATGCTTTTTTTTTGTTTGTTTTTTGTTTCACAATTACTGTAGAGCTGTGAGAACGAGTTTGACAGGTAGATGGAAAACCACTGAGCAAAGATCAAACAGATTAAAACCACCATCTTCAGTGCTGCACAAACAACAAGAGAAACATGTGACATTATGTGTGTCACCTCTAAATGTTTACACACTTTTCAACAGTTTTAGATTATTACTCTTTGTTTGTTCAGGAACCAAAAAAAAAAAAAAAAATATTGCATTCCTATTTCATATTTGCTGTATTTCCATTGATTTTTGCAATCTTCAATCAAACTTTATGCCAAATTTATACCGTAATTATTTACAATAAATAATGTGTGTTTAATTAGCATATACACTCATTAAATTCCCAGCAATGAACGCACATTTAATGCTAAATTAGTTTTTTGGAGCACACTGCGATTAGCCACTGCTGACATGATGAAAATTACAGTAATTATGAGTTATTCTATGAAATGCGAACCATTTATTTACACAACATACAATTGTCGATTTGTATATTTTTATTCCTTATTTACTTGTTCTATTTTATTTTTTTAATTTTTAATTTTTTATTATCTGTGTTTTTTTGTCCTGTCACTGTCATTCTGTTACACTGTGGAAGCTTCTGTCACGAAAACAAATTCCTCGTATGTGTAAACATACCTGGCAATAAAGCTTATTCTGATTCTGATTCTGATTCTGAATCATCCGCGATTGTGAGGTTGTTGATTGTTGCTATGGTGATACCGGGGAGCTCTTCCGGGTCGTGCAGTCGTGTTTACGAATAAGCAGCGCTGCATTACATAATCTCTCATCGATGGTGTAATCCTTCGCTTCAGCCTCTTGTTACAGCTTTACTGCGGTACTTTATACATTATTAATGGGTCCAAACAGGATCTACATCAGTGTGGGTTATGCCACGTTCGGCATGTTGGTGGGATTTTCGGCGTTTATCGCGTGGAATGTGGTTTATAAACAGCCTTGGACGGCGGCGATGGGCGGATTATCAGGTCTGTAAATAAACTCAAGGCCACAGACTAACTTCTTTACACATCAGCTGTCAAACATAGACATTTCTCATCCTGTTTCCTTTACTGTCATGCTTTTTAACTCGTTGCTATTATTGTGTGATCTTGCGGTTGGGGAAATCTCCGGCTGTCGCAGTCTGTCTGTATGCAGTGTGTGGTTTGTTATTCCAATAGAGATATGATGGGTGATTATTTCATTTCTTTCTTAAAAGGATCAGTCCGTCATCTTCTTAAAATGACTTTGGAAATAATCACCCATAAATATGGAGATTTTTGACTGTTTCTACTCGAGAGAAAGAAAGAAACATATATGCACTCCACATATATATAATATATTTATTTCCAAATAATCGCTATCTATCTATCTATCTATCTATCTATCTATCTATCTATCCCTGTGTGTGTATATATATACAGTGGGTACGGAAAGTATTCAACAATGTAAAATAAATAGTATATGATAATTAATATTTAAATAATGAACTAATTAAATAAGCAGTTTGTGTACTCCTTTTGATTAAACTTGATTTTTTTTCTCTCCCAAAACTTTGCACTCAAGATTTTTTAAATTGTAAATGAAACAGATTATTGGAGTAAGAAAGTACTTTTCAGTTTTTCTATTTAAAATGTTTACGTTTAATTCAAAGTGTTACATGAAAATACGTAAAAAATGTGGCAAAATGTACTGTATTAATATTAAGGAATTTTCCATATTCATATTTTACAGGTGTTTTATCTGTGCATTTTGAATTTTGCTCTTCATTGCATTGTGTTTTAGGGTTACCGTAAATGTCCATAAACTTATTAGCTCATATCAGAAAAATACCAGTACATTTTCCATTTATTTCATTCTGTATTTTTTTCTCGTATATATATCATATGTGTATATGTTATGGGTTTAAATCTCCAGGAGTTCTGGCACTCTGGGCATTGGTCACCCACATTATGTACATTCAGGACTACTGGCGCACTTGGCTGAAGGGACTCAAGTTCTTCATGTTTGTTAGTTCGGTCTTCTCCCTCCTGGCTATTGCTGCTTTTGCCACCTTCATAGCTCTAGCTGTTATAGAAAAGCAGTGTAAGTACCTTCACATGGACAGCTTTGTCTAATAAAACATTCCACACAATATCTGTATAATACGCATGTTTTAAGTGTCTGTAATCCATTCTGTATGTTTTTGTCTTCAGCAATAACTGACCCCAAGAGCTTCTATCTATCTGCCGTGTGGAGCTTCATGACTCTTAAATGGGCCTTCCTGCTGGGCATGTACTCCTACCGTTACCGCCAGGAGTTTGCTGACATCAGCATCCTCAGTGACTTTTGATTGGCTCCTTCATCTGTAATAGAATTGTAGTTGCCAGTCTGTGGCTTCACCTGCCAATGTGGAGATGGATGGAAGGATGGATCTCCTTTTTAAAACCGTCTTACAGCCTCCTTGCTCTCACAGAAAAGACTCAAATCTCAGTCCTCCTTCCCTCAGATCCGGGCCCTGGAGTTAGAAGTCAGTGAATGTCTGTGATCTGCCTCTTTCCTGTCTTTTTGAGTTAATTGGAGGTTTTACATTGACATTGGACAAAGGTATGTCAAGTGTTTCAAAGGAAGTGGATACACTAGGATGTGGTCACGGGTAGTTGTTACTTTACTCAGGGCAACTTCTCTCCAAATGTCAGATGTGAAATGAAGGCTTTCCTTCAGTCAGAAAAAAGTGCAAAAAATGTACATTGTACATTGTCATTGGGGCAGTAGACCTTGTCTTTACCCCTTTATAAGGGTGCATATTTGTTCCTGAGATTGCTGATGAAATGCATTCTTATGGTATAAACCATTTTTGGAGAATGTGGTCCAAAAGGCTCACTTTGAAGAGACTGCTGTAGTGACAAGGTACAATTTTTGCACTTTTTTTCTTCTAAGAGTATTGAATGAGTGTATGATGAAGGATTTGCACAGCTTTATCTAGTGATCTCAGCCAGCGATGGTGGAATTGACTGATTTAATGTTACTATCGTTTTCAGACATAGTGCTCTTTATTATTTGCCATTGCAATTGTTATTTCCTTTTAAATGTTGTTTATACTGAGTTCTGTTTATGATTGGCTGTGTTCGGAACTGCATACTACCATACTAGTAATTCTGCAGTATGTAAACTAGCATTTAAAAGTTAAGGTAAGTTTTTTTTTTT